TATAAAAAATTCTAACTAAACATATGTCACAAGTGAATTGGAACCAAGGAAGTACTTTTTTGGATAAACCATTTTAGTTAACATTTTAAGAGAGCGCATCACTGTGTGTGGGAGATTGTTGGAGGATACGGTTTTTTTTTTTAAAAAAATATTATAAATATTTACATATTAATTAAAAAAAACTCTATAAAATTCAAACAAGGTAAACCAGCCTTACTTTTTTTAGGATAAGGTTGTTCTCCTATTTAAAGTATTTATAAATAAGTTTTATTTGTTTAAAAAATTACCTTTTTAAAACTTGTAAACACTTTTATAAACTTAACCAAAAACAAGGAAAAAAAATCTTATAAACTTGAAGAATAAACTCTGCAAAACAGGCCCTATGCCCTAAGACTACTGCAAAACGAGCTTATTTTATTTTAATGCCTACTTAAACTTCCTTTCCCCAACCTCATATATAATAATGATGAATCAAGATTCACTTACATTTTACATGTAAGTTTTAAATAAACTAACAGTTGTTGATCTTCAAATGTAACAATAAAAAAAGAAGTATTATATTTCTTCATATATCTCAAATTGTTAAATTTAAAAATCAACCACTCATAATTTATGTAATACTATAAGTAGTTTTTAACTCATGATAAAAATAAAACTGAACAAATTCTAAAGAGATGTAATTTGCTGGTAAGATTAGGTAGTGGTACAGGCATTTAGTGATCCATTCACCATGATTATTGGTAGTTAAAATTTTGCTGGACTAATTAACATTCTATAGAAATGTCAACCAAGAGCTTTCCAAAAAAAAAAAAAAGAAGAAGAAGAAAGAAGAAAGAAACGTCAGCCAAGACAATTTTTTCCTCCTTCTAGGGTTTATTTGCTTTCCCCTAAAAAACTAAATCCACCCCAAATTGAAGATAATTCCTCTCACCAGTTGCATCTAGTCTCAAAGTCCACATAATTAATATTTTAGTTACATCATCAACAAGAGGAGAGGAATGAAGGAGTCAAAAAGGAAATACAAACCACGGAAAAGGGAAAAAGAGCCAGACATTTAATAAAACTGAAGTTATCCCCTTCCTTGGGATGAATAAAGCTGATATGATAAGATCTTCAAACGGAATAAGTTCGATATTTCACATGATAAAAATAAAAGAAAGAGAGAAAAAAAGAGAAGAATTTGAATAAAAAGAGAAGGGAAGGGATCAGATAGGTAAAATGGAGTTGCCGTTCAAAAAAAAAAAAAAAAGGTAGGTAAAATGGAGTTTTTTTTTTCCAAAAAGAGAAAAACTTTGTTTGATCCTATTTCAATGACATAAGATCAACAAAACTGTATTACCCCAAGAGAAACTAAAGATTAATCAAAATTCACTAATGCATTAATTCACATCAGAACCTTAAAAAGGATGATTACAATCAAGGAGAAGGTGAATCCAGGAGCAAAATAAAAGAAACAAAAAGATGATCATGATCCATATATTTGATAATTACATATTGGAAATATAGCAAAATACAAAAGAAACTTAAGAGTAAAATAAGGCAGGCAGCTTTAAAGCTGCATATCTAGAGTCTCCGAACCCCTGGCTTCAGTCATGTGAGCAGAGAAGCAAGATAATACATCTTCTTATTATGTAAAGCCTACCTCTTTCTTCTCTTAGGAACCCTCCCAGTCCCTTGCATGGGAACTTCCTCTTAGATCCTCCAATTGTAGCACTCTTCATCTTCATCTTTCTCCTTATCAATATTTGGTTTTGATTACCTCTCTCCTTTTCCTCCTTGCTTTCCTATTTTTCCACTTAGAGTCTTCTTCTGCTCTAAGTTCACTGCCCTAAATAGATCAATATATATTGAGGTTTGAATGAGAGTAAATGATTAGGCAATGCATGAAAAGAACAACAAAAGGAGGGGTGTTCTTATAGGGGAAAGGGGCAATGATACAGGTTCCACCTGGGTCCACTAAAAGAACCAGGTGGACCTCTGATCAGACGGATATAAAATGTCTCTATTCTCACCAGGCACTGCACTTTGGATCCCAGTCCACTGGCAAGCAATATACTTATGAATTGTGGAATGTGTTAGAAACCAAACAATACTGTCTGTCTCTTACTAGTCTTATGTGTGTGACATGTGTAAGTAAGCTAAGGGCATTTCCGTGGACCACCTCCTTTATCCACAATATATTTTTCAGTTTTTTCTTTTCATTTTCCCCTGTTTATTGCGTGTTAAGGAGAAAAAGGAAGTAAGTGTGATCTTAGTCGGGAAGAAATGTCCTCATCATTGGCATTCAGAACTGAGTGGACTAGACTTTAAATGGGTTCAAGACCACAAGTTGGGGTTTGTGGCCCTAAAGCAGCCGGTTTGGCCTTCTTTATTTATCCGCAAACCCAAATCAAGAAACCTTTGGATTAACATAGATGTTTAATCCAAAAAATAATTATTGACTTCATTGTTTTATAGTCTATAGTGTAAAATATTAATTATTAGATAGGTTGATCATTCTTAAAAGTAAGAGGTCGTTTTTGTTTAATTAGTTTCAATTATGTAATTTAAATTGTGTTGAATCAGTTTTTTAAGTCTAATAATTCCTCCTTAAACCATGGTACTTAAGTTCAATTAGTTGAAAGTTCGACTCCGATCAATTTTTTAAAAATTTTTCTTTTTTCCAATATTTTCCATGTTAAAAAAAAATTACATTATAAATTTTTTTATAGAGTTCTTATTAAAAGATGTTTGAATGAAGAAAGAGTTTTCAATATAGCCTAACATTCATCTAATAATCTCTATTATATTAGCTTAAATTGTATAATAATTTTTCGTTTTTATAAGTATTCCTTTATTTATTTTCTGGTTAACAGGAAGGGGGTCCTTAGTGTACCCTGTAAACGGCACATGTAATACAAAAGAAATGGTTTTGTGGTACGGCGGATCAGTGGTACACGTGATGTTCACGCGACAGACGTGGTTAGTGTCTGTGACTTGGAGGACAAACTAAGTTTATGACATAATGTTGAACCACAATCTCTCATTAGTTAAGCATCACCTCTACTTCTGCTGGGTTCCTTCTCATTATAGAACCTTTTCATTCCATTTTCATTTTGGAAGAAAAGGATGGTTCAAGGGTTCTCAGTCTACTGGCTTTCCACTATTTTGTTTCCCTCGCATTAATTTTGAAGTGCCAATTGCTAAAGCAGGCTGCACCACACATTTTTTTGAAAAGGGCAATTATGTATTATCTATATGCCAGGGGGAGGGGGAAAGGTGGAGCCTGGGTTCAAGCCTGTGAACCTGTGATGTCCACCGAGGTAAGCGCTCAAGAGAATAGACAACTGCACCATAACAAGTTCATATGCTATAATCGTACTGATTTATGTCACAGTTCCTTCTCTAGCCTAAGCACTAGTCATTTCAAACTATTCTACCTTCCATACAATGAAATGAATCGGCATGGAAGAATGACAAGATAAATGAATATACGACTAACCTAAGAATCTAACTTTCAAGGTTTGTTGTTAGACACAAGCATCAATGATTTATGATGATTAATGAATAATAGTATAAGCCATGACAAAATGCAGAGACCCCACACAGACTCAATTAACAAATATACACCCAAATCATTTTGCATATGGATAAATGCAGTGGGTGACTGAACATATGCGAATAATTGTAACTTCTTGTGAACTAAATTGTCTGTATTATTTATACGAGAGAAACTAGACTTTTCTAATCTGCACGGTAATGACATTGTATCTTTACTCTTTCAATTTATAGTCCCCACCTACTTAATTGAAGGCTTGTGACACTCCTCTCCCCATGGCCGGTAAGCACCAAAAATTTTCATGAAGCCAGACCCTACACGAAGGTGACAAAACCAACATACAGTTAGATGTTGTCCAGAAGTTTTTAGTGAGGATCAAGATGGACCCCTACCAAGAAAGAGATTTTAGAAAATTTTGAAGAGCTCAGCTAGAACAGAGAGATCAGAGTACTGTTTTCTAAGTCCAGACCCGTAATCTATAATGCAACAAACTATCATGTCCAAAATTTGACTAGTCTTCTTCACGTGGAACAAAATAGCTAGCAACTAAACTGCCAATTTGTTGCCAGTAATAGGTTCTGCTGCACTGCTACAGTTCTACCAGCTTGCTACATTTCATGGCTAGTTCCTCTGTCAGGTTCTACGAAGGAAAAAAGACAAAAGTAGCTAAACCTTTAATGAAGCAAAGTGTAACACTATAACAGTTCTACAGTCAACGCCTAGTACAAATAATTGCATAAGAATCTGTCATAGAATGTCTAGATTTCACATGCAGTTCTGCTCATCTTAAGTCTTGAGTGAAAAATAATGCACTTATGGCATTTCTGCTGCTGACCATATTCGGTAGGATGATCATAGTAGATATGGAAATCAGCACTTGGTGAAACCGTGAAAGGAAGTATAAGAGCCCATGATTCCATAATAGTTCACGGAAGTGGACAGGCTATGTATATTGGGTAATAACTTGTAATAATACAAGAAAAACATGCTGCTTTCTTCATCTATGTGGAGCCTAAATGAAAAATCATATGCACCATACTTGATGCTACATTAGGAGCCACTAATTCTGTTTAAACATCAATCAGTATTCCTAGCTGGATCACCTTCTTATCTTCTCCTAGTGGGGGAAAAATGGATCATTATGAATCAACTACCTAAACAGATTTCAGTATCTGCTACTAATACCACGCATCATATATTTCCAAAAGAATAGAAAAGTCTGATAGGCACAATAACTACTGTAATCCATAAAAGAAATGAAAAGTCAAAGATCCCCATCTCATAATGCAGGGGAAAAACGAAGGAGAGTTAAATTCCTAATGAGATTTTTTCTGGAAGAGTTTTGGAATAGCTAAGTATGTAATCTTCAATTTTTAATATAAAGAATCATATCATGCCCATGAAATTACATTGTTCCAATTCTTCCATTTCCTTCAGTTGTTTACTTTAGAAATGTTGAAGACAATAAGGCTGAATGACATACACACCAATGTGATCTTTTTCAACAGCAATGAATAGCCTCTGGCTCTTTTTGTTAAAGATGACTAAAATATACAAGTTCAAGTGCCAGAGGTACTCATTTACTGAGTGAAGATACACCAATGTGATCATGTGATGTGGTGGTTCAGCTCAAAGCCACTGGTACCTTTAAGTATGGGTGTTTTATTCTTATTTTCCCAACACACAGAAGAATAGTATTAGTTGATATCAATCTAATACACACATGTGTTTGAACATATCATGAAATTCTTTGATCATATTCAAATCGTGACAGGAATGAATCAACGAATTTTATTAAACAAATGTTAAGATACCAGCTGACAATCTAATTATCAAATCCAACATAAAAGAACTTACATTTGAAGATTGTCATACACTAACTGCTGTTGACACCAATGTTCTATTCAAATCCTGAATGTCCTTCAGTAATTTCTCATTCTCTTCATTCCAACTCTGTATCTCAACATCTAAAGCTGCATTTAGTAACAAAATGCGGTAGATCAATTCATGAATTCCACAAGCTTTAGAGTACAAATTTTTAAATGATGTATTCAGCTATCCTAAAAGATATATGTCCTAACTTCTAAGAAATACTAGAAAGCACAAATTCTATACCACTGTTTTTTTCTGTTCTAATCCAAGTTTAAGTGGATAACTAGCAAGAAGTTGTAAGCAGCAAAAGTGCTGCCTTGTGAAATCCTGAATTACCTAGTTAAAATGAAAGCTAAAATCCACTAGAATCTAGAATCAGACACAAATGGCCAATTGAAAAAGGGATGTGTGTATATATGTATTGTGACATCCAGCATAGGAATATCACTGGTACTTACCAGACAACTCCAACATAGTGGGAGCTCTTTCTTCATTTACAGTGGAAAAGATTATGTCTATCATTCATTTTAACCATCTATAGCCATAAGACTTATTCTTAACTAATTTATTTCCTTTGAGATGCATCATTATGACCTTAACACATACCATTAAACCCATAGCCTTTAAATCCAGGTGAAGAAAATTTGCAACTTTCTTTTTACCTTTAAATTTGAAACTATATTATAACCGTAGCAAATGTATCAACTATCAAGTGCAGATGGGGTTAGCGTTGTTATGCATGTCTGTAAGGGATAGCAAGAAGTATGAAGTAAAGACAATCAGCGATGAGATAAAATGGCCAATAGAACCATAGATGTAATACCATTCCCAAAAGTATATCAGTTTAAATGATAAAAGAAAGGAAAAGTATACTAACACAAAAAAAAATTTATATTTTAAGAAAACCCATGCAATAAGTTAACTTAAGTAATGCATTATGAGTTGGCAAAAGTAAAAGAAAATAAGTTAAAGAGAAGGCATTGTATTAAATGATTGATAAGATGCTGCACAAAAAACTTCTATACAAACATTACCATTGCTAGAACTGTAAAGATCCCCAAGAACTTCCTCGACAAATGCTGACATTGAATTTCTCAAACAGTTATTTTTCTTATCCAAGAGATGAATTTCACTTTCAAGAAACTCCCTTTCGGCCAACAAAGCGATCAGTTCATCATTTTCTCCTTTGTCAATGCTCCTCTGAAATTCTCGGCAGAGCATGGTAAACTTTTCCCTGAACAAAAAAAGCACACGAGTAAGTGGTTTAATGCTTCTTCTAATAAAGTCATTCCTTATATCTGCTTCATGAAAATCAGAAGACAAACATTTTCTTTTGAAAAGCAAAAGATCAAAATAATTGTGACCTCTTTTCCTCAATTCTTTTACGCAATCCATCCCGCTTCGTTCTCAAATCACATAACTGCTCCTCCATGAGTTTCACCGAGTTCCTCCAAACACCTAAAAATTAGAAGAAACAAATTGAGAGATTTGAAAAGGAAAATCACTAAATCACAGAAAGATATGAATTCAAAATGCTAAATATATCAATTCTTGCAAATATAGGAAATCACCGGTAACGGACAGCAAGCCGGTGATCTCGAAGTGAGACGTGAAAAGCGTCTTAGTTAACTCGGATTCTCTGACCACCAAACCACTCTCGATCTCCTCGCACCTTACGATCTCTGATTCAATCTCTCGCGTTATTTGGATGTTGGCTTCGATTTCTTCGTTGACCTAGTCGTTTGCGATGCAACGATCAACTTTTCGGTGCAAAATTTGACGGAAGAGTTGGGAATTGGAAAGGAGCAGAACATCAGATTGTTCAGTAGGTTTGGGCAAATTGGATTGTGAAGCAGGAGAAGAGAAAAACGAACCTGATCGAGCATGTCCTTGAGACATGAGATTTGGCAGAGAATCGACCCTGAATCCTCCATTCTGTCTCTTCGTGATTCTGTGTCTGCCCCTCTTCTAGATTTCCCGCCCTTTTTCATTTTAAGTTTTTGTCCTCTTCTAAAAAATTTGGAAATTGATTACACGATCTAATATAATTAATTTTTAATTTAATATTTAATAATATAAATTTTTAAATTTTAAATTAAATTTTAATTAAATAATACAACGTAATTTAAAATTTTAACTTTAATTTATTTTTGAAAGTCAAAATTAATATATTTTTTTGTATTATTTAAATACCCTTAAATAAAATTTTCTGTGTTAATTTATTAAAATTACTATATGCACTCATTACTCTTTTAACAGATAAACAATAGACTATATACAAATCTTGTGGACTCACTTATTATTTGAGCAATTAATAAGAAATGAGTTTGTCAATAACTTAAGTTATTAAGTAATTCAGTGATTATTTATTTTCGTTGAAAATAAAAAATCTTAAATTCAACTCATATGACATGTAAGTAAAATAAAATAAAAAATAAAAAATAATTATTTCTTATTGTATAATCAAGATAAAAAAAAAAAAAGAGTTTAGAGTTCACTTTTAACAGAGTTAAAAAAGTGTTAAATTTAAGTATTTTTCAAATATTTAAGCAGTCTTAATTTTTTAATTATCATTCTTGCAATTTTCGCGTATGCTTTGGTCCAGCAAAGAGCAAAACCCCCTGGATACAATCTTTTAACAACCTCGTTAACAGGTCATCAACTTATCTCTAAATGTGAGGAATACCAAACCCTCAAAGATTTATAACACAGATTTGTGAGATCATCATTGTAAACAAAAGTTATTTCATTGATGGATGATGAACATACATGATTCTAAACACAAATCTGTTCAATTCAAAATTCAAGAGCGACCATATATCTATATTTTAAGTGGACGAAGTTTTGTACAATAAAAATGACTTCGGGAGAATATATAGGCTAACCATGCGGTTACCATAATGAGCTCTTTGACCAAAATAGAACAATCCGCTGAATATTATACCATAAGTGGATGTCTCGTTCATCTCCTTAGCTTTCTGCAACCAAATTATTGAAAGGAGAAAAAGTTAATCATAATATGATAGAATGGTTCAGTCTTATAATGCACATTTAAGTCAATAAAAAAATGATTCTTCATTTAAAAGAGAAAAAAAAAAAAAGAAAAAAAAAAGAGTTATGAAAATGATTCTGAAATCAAGTGATCAAAAAGGGTAATCATCAAGGCAAATGGGGAAAATTATAGTAATTGTAATAATGATATACAAAATACTATATAGCAGGTGCTAGTCACAGGCATATCTGTTGATCTAAAGCTTTAAAAGGGTAATTAATCCATTATGTCTGCTGAGAGATGTCATTATAAGGTTTCCTCAGCAGCATACATAATAAAATCCTCAAACAAAATAGTTAGTTTTAGAACAACATAATATGAGACACAAGCAATTAGGATAACTGGAAATCAATCTGACCAGCCCAATGTAACTCAACTACAGCAATAATTAGCAGTCATAGAAACATTCCATTTCTCTTGTACCTGAAAGATGAAATAAATTTCTCAAGTATGTCTCTATGTTCAACTTTACAAGTGAAACATGCTTCTTTACATGGAGCTGAATCCCTTATTTCAATATTTTAAATGAAATCATATTTCAATTTAATAGCTGGAAAACTAGAAAACTGGGAGCAAAATATCCATTTCACTGGAGTAGCCTCTCCCTCTCCAGGGTTTGTGATCACAATCATCTCAACATATAGGTTATGATCTAACAGCATCTGATCACCACTCTTGGGGTATCAATTACAAACACTAATAATCAGTGACAATTCACTTTTCATCACCAGCAATACATCCATCACCCATTTCTCACAGTTCTGCTTACTTATTCAATTTTAGATATAAAAGGCCTAACACTCGATAACAGAGGTATAGGAATGTCAAATTTTGCTTCATATGGGCTTTCTTAGCATCAGACCTGGCATTGTTATCATGAGATCACACATCACAGATTCTAAGGCCAAGCTGACACCCTTTGCTAGATGTTTCTGCCTATTGGCAATATGTAAGGTGCTCAAGTGTGAATTCTAAGCATCTCCAACCAATTAATTTCCTTATATACCTTAAGGGGCTTTATGTTTATGTGCATTGGGTTTAAAGTGGCTTGGGTACCAAAATTCTATGAGTTGTAATGTATCTCATTCAGGCCCTGAAAGTCCTTTTGGAGGAAAAAGAAAGAGGGAGATTTGAACATCTGCCTATACCTTGGTTAACATTACCATTTTGTTTTTTCCATAATGATTATTAAAAATTGCAGTGAGGTCCAGAATGTACTCTTAAGACAAATACCTTATGCCACTAGTGTGTTTGCAAGAGTATGTGCCACTTCAATAGTTTGAGCCACTTCTAGCTTTATTCTTGAAACAAGATCCTCATGCTCAGAAATGGACAGAGGAGCACCATTATTCATGAGAATAGCTCTCGCTATTTCATCCTGCAGCCTCTTCTTCATGTCTTTCTCCAGGTTTCTCTCCTAATGCAAAGTATTGTATTCAGACTAGTTGATCAGATAACATTAAAATTAAGCATATGTTTCATGATGGTTGGGAAATGATGCTATTACCTTTTCCTTTTGAGCAAGAAGTTCTTTTTCTTTCTCTCTCTCAACAATTTTCTTGAAAACAAGACAATAACTTAATTAATACAAACATTAAAGCTGTAAATTATTGAAAGATGAAATGAATAAAAATAAGAGAAGAAGTGTGTTTTACTGGCAAAGGAATAGTTCTGTTTCTATTAGAATTTAAACTCGGTAAAACTAAACTTATACTGACCTCTCTAAAGGCTTCACAAAATTCCAGAAACTGCAAGGCATGGGCAACATCTCTGGTAGGTAAATCAATGGCAGCTATTCCATTTAACATAATTCCTTGAGGCAGTTGGATTCTAACATCGGATGCTTTGCTTTTCAATTTTCTCTGCTTGGTATTTCTAGTTTCAGTCCTTTTATCATTGGTTTGCACTGAATCATTTTTCCCTTCATGGATAATCCCCTTTCTTCGTTTGCTGGTCACAGCCACTCTAGACTCCTGTTGTAGAAATTACATATTCATAACCAAATTGGAATTTGTAAGGTCCATCACTTACCATGTAATGTAGGTAAAGAAAAGAATTAGACTTTTAGATCTCATATCATGTTATCATCCAAAACTAATGTGTGAATTAGTTATGTTCTCAACTTCTTTCTATTAGCATGGATACCATTGACATTTTTAATTCTTCATTATTCACCCTTTCCTCAGCAAGTCTAAATCAAACAAGTATTCCTTAACTATCAATAACTAAACTACAAATAAAAGCGAATAGGATAACAAATCAGACCTTCTTTGGACCTTTTCGCTTGCCTCTAGAGACAACTGCATGAATAGTCTCCTCATCAGCTATTGAACTTTCAGAATTCTTAAGATGCAACATTTCCAAGACTGAAGCAAAACCATTTGCCTTAGCCGTGTGCACAAGAATCCCAGTAGGCTGCTGACCTCGTTTCTTCCTACAGGATATAAACTCCCAATTAACCAAGAAATGACCAACAATGCCTAAACAACAAAATACTCAATGTGGGTTTTCATCGATTAGCACTCACATGCAGAAACTGCAATTGCAAATTCCTCTGCATCTTGGACACAACCAATCATCCAAGAGAGCCACCTCCTCAGCCTTCTCTCCATATCTAATTCAAGCTTAAACAAAACAATCAGCTAAAGGTTCCAAAGAGAGCAAAAGTAAATACACTCAATGAAAAGACTAAGACCTGTTTAAGAGGCATTTGTGACAAAAATGAATAGTACACTGCTTCTCCCCATTCTTTTTCTTGCATGATGCCACAAAATCTATTGTTTTTTGTCGACACTGCCACATTTCGCTAAAAATCTTCAACAAAAAACTCCAAGAACAAAATTAACTAATTGATTACGCTAACTACAACAAGAGCTTAGCCGAGACGGTATCCACTAACTAAATAACCTTAATTCTGGCATTTGCACCAGGAAATCAAGCTTCTGCAACAGTAAAGCACTAAATTCTAGGGCGACGAAGAAAATTAGGTGAATAATTTGATGGATAGGATAGGAAAATGTGAAGGGATTTAAAGCGAAAAACCTGATGACAAGTCTTGCCATTCTTGGAATCGTAGATTCGACTTCCGACGAGCCGGACGCCAGGCGAACAGTTGCGGCGCTTGCGGCGAGTGGGTTTACTGAGTTGGATCCGAGTTGATTCAGCTCCATTTCTGAACATTTTTGCCTTGTTTTTGCTGCCCTTGCTCATTCTCTTCTTAGATGGAGAAGATGCAGCCATGGGGAAGGCTTTTTGTTTTGATTCCAAAATGCTGATCTTAAAAAATGGCTTCGTACAAGGGCTTTTTTCTTTCTTTTTATTTTTGTTAGTGAGGGGGAAATAAAATGAAATGAAATTATTCCTTCGGCGCTGGCGGGAAGAAAGAGGTGAAAACTGAAAAAAAAAAAAAAATGTGGAGGAATCACGCCGTGGGCGCGGGCTCATAGAGTGGACTTGGTGGTTAAGGCCCATTGTTTCGACCTCAACCATACAAGCACGGTTAGCGGAACCA